ATAACAGTCAAAAAGTAACGATTTTAGTGACGCAGGGGAATTGAAATGAGATAACTGTTAGTGTGTGCTTGACCTATAATTTTTGTTAGCGTAGGGGAACAACTTGAATTAGGCAAATTGATCAACGACAAAACATGCGCGAGATTAAGCCGGCAGATCCATCTGATATATAACTGAATTTTCATCCGACTCCCTGTTCAACCCAGATCGACTGCCTAGAGTGGATAGATTGGAGTCGTGGCACTACAGTTTAGTCCTGGAGAGATCCGCGCGGAGGATAGAGCCGAGCAAACATGCAACTTTCTGCCTAAATAGAGAAGCCGGTTTCCTACTTTTAACATTGTTAATTTGCTGCAACCAATGGATAGGACATCAGCTTGGCTGAGACGCCGCTTACTAACGTAGCTTGGTATTGCCTAAAATTATACCTATATACAATAGAGCTAAAACACTGTTTGTGTGGTCGAATTTTGTTACGTGGGAATTGTGTTTTGTAAACTGTCAAACGTGCAAAGTTATGAGAACTTGTGTTGCGCGCAAAAGTTTCGCTTCGTTATAAATGGTACTAAAACTACATTGTGTATAGCTTTAAGGCTTGGTGCCCATCAAGAGGATAGTCGCCTTACATGAAGAAACGATCATTTGACAAAAGGAAAGCCGCAACGAAAGACCGACACGTGAATAAGGTAAGTACAGCCGCCGACAGTGCTCAGGAAGCTAATATGTGCCCTAGAATATATTACAAGAGGTTATTAAACTTCAAATTAATAAAACAGCAGATAAAACAAATGATCAACAAAGAGCAGATCGCTAAAGCTCCAGGCTACATGGGGCAACACATGAGACAGATAATTAGCGTACGTCAAGCAGAGAAACAACAAACCACCAATCATACTGAGACAGTAGAAGTCGCACATGAAGGACGTTACGATAATACTGAAAACCTCACGTAATAGAAAATAAACACCAGAACATTTCGGCAGATATTTGTATAACAGACAGTGTCACTGTGAAGTGTACTTCTTCAAAGATAAAAAGACGAATTTCTGTTGTGTGCAGAAAAATTGAATTAAATCACATACAGTTGCCTGCAGAGGTGAGTGAATTGTAACACAGCAGCAGCAGCAAAGGCTTGTCGAAAAAATATCAGATAACACCATAGTCTCTTGCAGATGATTTCTCCGGGTGCCGCTCGGGAATGCCGTCTTTCTGAAAAGACGTACAACCCTCTCCTCCTCTATTATGCAGAATGCTACTTACCATAAAATCGGAGTGCTTATACCGCAAAATGCCAATTTTTTCAAGTTTACTTTAAGAACACACAACGTGATGTTCAGCAGCATGAACGCCGTCTACAAATTATGAATCACCCAGAGCTTCGTGCCCTCGTGCAAAACCTGCAACGAGTGCTTCGAAGAAATGATCTTCATATTCGATTCGATTATGAAGATGTGCTTATCAATATTGATGCTGATCGATGACCACCAGGCGACTACGAAAGAACATATAATAATGCGTAGGCAACAGCCGAACTGAGAATTATTGTTAAAAATGACCCAGGATCAGATATAATACGCACACAGTGTTCTACGTTACCAAAACAAATGAACACCATTAACAAGACAAAGCAAGCAAACGACTAATTTTCAGACCCTTTTTGAGGCACATCGATCATATGACTACCTACGGTGTGTAGGTTGGATTATGAATATTACTTTACTGTTCCTTTTCCAAAAAGATGGTTGGCATCGTGAGCTACGCACGACGTAGGTCAAGCCGCCTTTTTCAACAGCATCTGATTTGAAAATCTATCCCAAATGAAAAGTAGTCAAAAATCCTCAACATCGGCTACCTGTAGCGGACTTGCTAACGTTATAAATAACGAGGATAAATTTGCAGTCATTCAAAAGCGTACCGAGGTACATAGCAAGACTTCGATAAGACACGACGTATATTTCACTACTCCTGACACCTAATGGTTCCTAATAAGATCGTACGCCGTCATAGTAAAGGTCAGCAATCGAAAAATCGGCTAGAGTCAATCGAACGCATATTGTAACTAAAAAAGGATTTTTTCATACAACATTATATTTAAAAAAAATCGACAATTTTATTGCACATTTGGGAATCAAAAAATGTCAGAAAGGAGAGCCGTCACGTGTTTATATTTTGCAGTTCGACAAAGAAACTACTACATATCTACTCAAGTTGAAATCTCGGATTTGTGGGAAGCGTGGGTACAAACTTCGCAGATTATCCTTCGAACATACGATTCATAATTCGAATCATATAACGAATTCGCTTTGTATAAATGACGGCTCGTGCCTGAAAAAAGCCTGGGGCCATACGTTAAACGTTCAACGTAGAGAAGACTCACACCCCCTACAAAGCGCTTCTCCGAAATACAACGTTTCGTAGATTAGAGAAAGGGATCAATGGTATCAAGATAATGAAATTAATAACAGTGGGCTGTTCCATACTGTGCTAAACTTCTGAAGACTTTCAAGCACCACTTAACGTAAAACATGCTTATCGGTCAAAAAAAAATATTATAAATTATTGATTTTAAAGGAATCTTTTAGGTAGACGAAATTGAACAATACCAAATAAAATGATGCATATGACTGTCAAGCCATTGTCCAAGTGTTGAACTTCCTTATAAGCTATATTGACCCATTGAATGACTGTATTGGAAACTACGTAAAAACGACATTCATGCCTTTTTGCAACAAACTTGAGAAAACTTTGTTCCATGTCGATGTACCTGAATGCTAAATCTGAGCCAATAGCAAATGTAACGGATGGAAAAAGTATATATGTTTCAAATGTTTCCACCTAACCTTTTTAAAGTACTTAGACTGCGAATTTACGTTGGGGAGAAATCCACTAAAAGACTACTCCTTTCGACTAGCAGAAGGCTATGAAAGGTGTCTTTACTGTTTAAAGGCTTAATCGCGCGCTTCATTTTTAGAATTCTCATTCACGTTAAGAAGGACATAGTATGTACGTCAGGAGGTCGTTGATTATTCGCGGCTTGATGTATGCGAACCTTCAAAGGAATTTTAACGGTATGTTCAGGTGATTTCTACTAGTTAATATTAACAGTAGAACGAAATTGCGAGGTAGGTATTGGATAGGCTTGTAGAAACGAATCATAACTGTGGAGGCACTTTAAAAACACAACTTAACTACTAATATAGGACTGAACGATACTGGCGCCAAGTTCGATATCGGTGAAGTTAAATTTCCAAAAAACTAAATTATACTACCAGAAAGCATCGTTTCGAAACGAAAGTCCGTAGTACAATGTATTAACCTTATTTACTCGCCGACATCATCCGAAAATTACTTGAAGGACACTTTCGCCGAAAAATTAATCGTAGATTCTGTTAACACAATGGTTTGGACTATTAAGAGTACTTATATTAGAAGATCCTCTGAAAATTTTAATGCATACCATTCGGTCAATTAATTAGCGAAAGGTGCTGGTACGGTGCATTCCCTTACAGTTTCTTGACAGCCTTAAAGTATCCAGACTCCCGTCTCATGAATTACAAAAAAGGGTTTAACGATCATCTTAGTAAAGAAGAAAGACTCTTCTAAATTTTGCAACGGCTCAAGGATGATCACTCATTATCTTCACAATCACTCTACCATCGTGAAAATTATCAGCGATATATTCAAGCAATCCTGCAATGACAATACGCCTGAGGATTACAGAGTGGCCATTTAATTCCGCACAAACCTTGGCGAGCTCTTGATCATAGCAGACTCAAAAAAAACAGGTTTTTTTTAAACAATTATCTCATGGTAAAATACGATACGTTGTTTTTGTGGTTTGAGCGATAATCAGCTATTTTTGAAACACATTTTTGAAATAAACTAACTTTATTGAGAATGCAAATTACTTTAGTTATTTTTAATCGACAGTCCACCGCACTGAAAAGGCATATGCGGTCATAGAAGGAACAGAAGTGGGCTCCAGCACAGTTCAATGGAAATTGCGAGCTAGGTATTGGATAGGCTTGTAGAAACGAATCATAACTGTGGAGGCACTTTAAAAACACAACTTAACTAGAGAGAAAAAAATAGTGCGAACTCAAGGATTAATCGAAGCTGGCTCGCAATCCGGAGACGTGCCTACTGTGAGTAAAAGCGATTTTCCGGGCAACATTTGTATTCTGTGTTTGGTATACGGTGAGAGGCATGTCATGCCACTATACTCCTTACAGAAACGTGGACGTTTCACGGCCCGCCAACAGCCCAGATTTTAACTTCTCATGTTATTTTGTGTCCAGTGTTATTAAGCAAAAGTCTAACAAGTCTCTATATAACAAGGTCGACTCGCGGAGTCCTATTTTTTTCTTAGGAAAGCGTTCGCACATTTGTAGGATAAACATTTGAAATGTGCCTGCAGGTAGTTTAGGTCTAGAATTGAAACTGTAATCACGGTGGATGGTGATTAAATGTAATAAACGTGACACCCGCAAAAATATCCATATACAGATACAATTTATCTGATACAGATAGAAAGATAGTGTAAGCAGAATTTCGAGTTTAGGTAAATCACCTAGTACTTCCGATTTTTTAGAAAAACGAATATATTTCACTTCAGCGACACGAATAATTTCCACTGCAATCATGACCATTCACAAGGCATAAGAGCAAGCAAAAAAAAAACGTCTTCCTCTCTATCAGAACACCCATATTCAACTATGGTCAACAATACATTCCTCAGTGACGCGAAAACGCCTCAAAATGTCAAGGTTTTCTTAAAAGCGAGCAACAAAATATCATTATTTGTGTTTTATAAGTAAATTCACATGAATTTACTTACACAAAGATTATTCTATTTATAAATTGCCTAATAAATAACTGCTTATACTCACATATACACGACCTGGAACCGAAAGCTGTTGCCCCCTACACAAACAGCAAAAAAAAAATTTAATTACATAGGAAGACATGATGAGGCAAAGCCCAAAACAAACCGAACTTACTTTTTCAGGATTACTCGAGGCTGAAGAAGAAAATTTTGATGAAAATGATATGTGATGCCTGCCCGTTATTGTCTCGCCTCGTTTTTAAGATGTTTGTTGAATTTTCTTTTGAGGTCTGCAATTGACGTTGTTTACCAGTGATTAGGAAAAATGCTTTTTGCATGGAACAAAAGACACGTATTTATAATTATAGTAGTTATTATTACAAACATTTGTGAAGTGCCTCTGTTACCCCAGCGGGCGTTTCAGATCCGTAACATTATATTAGATATACATGAGAAAGGTGCAAAATAAATTATACCATTTAACAACTTCTCCGCAGGGCCTGCAATCTATTTTGTTTACTTACTTTCATGTCCAGTCCTGACGTATTGGATCGTCCCATAAACTCGTTTTCAAATTGTAGCTAATTTAGGATGAAAACGATTTTCTGTCCAAACAATCTCAATTTGTTGTACATCGGCGGTTATTAGCGATAACCATCGCCTATCTTTCGAGCAGCTTATTAATCCTTTTTTTTTTAGATTAAAATCCTTATTTCGATAAACTGGTCAATATGCTTTCTTACACCTAATGAAAACACAAAGTTTTGCATTAAAGAAGCTTCGTAAGATCAAAAAAATAACAACCGGAAAATGCAGGTTGGGGCTATAAGGTGGGTGAAGAAAAACATCTTGTTTAAACTCGTATCATTTTTGGCAGATTGCTACAAATGTGTACAACTTGGCATGATCATGGGCTCTTTTCCTATTTTCCATAGCTTGTTTTGGTTGTTTATAGAACTTATAGAACAGCAATTCTCGATAACCTAGTCACATAGACAACATTTTCTTCTTGGGATAAAGTCCGACTTTAACTTTCGTTGGCACTTTTCACACTTTGATTCCGAGCTACTCTCAGTGACGTTATTGTAAGTTATCCCACTTTCATCGCTTGTTACAATCTTTGCCAAAAAAAGGTTATCCATATATAATTTCAGGTGATGATAGACCGTGCAAGCACGATTCATTAGTAGGTGGCTGGTCAACAGGAAATTCAGGCGTCTGCTCGACTGACGTAATCGTCATGGATGTCTTGACTAGTCGACTCCGATGCTCCTGTATTCTTCGCGACCTGGGGGGGGGGAGGAGGGCTCATATGCGGGTTTTAATTAATCATAGTGGAAATTTCAGCGTCTTCATAATCATAGAGCCGCTTTGGACGTGCCTGCTCTTCCATGCTGAGACCCCTACTTCGAAAACAAACGAATCGCTTCCTTACCATGTAATCGGTTACATTATTGGGTCCATGTTCCTTGCAAATGTCCTAATATGTTTAAATCGAATTTCAAATCAACCTTAAATATACTTGAGACATCTTCATCATTAGAGTCTTGCGCAACATAACTGAAATGTGCAACCGAATCGAAAATGGCGCCAAATAAAACCGCAAGGCAGTCCTATAAATATACCGAACAACCGGTTTTTTCGTCACCCAACTTTGTTTCTAGCGCCAAAATTCAAATGACTTCAATATACGGAACTTGCAAGACGATCCAATATTATAAATATGCTCATGAGCGAAGAATAATCAATTTACAATGCATTCGTAACAGCAAAAACAACATGTGCCTCATTACCCGTTCAATACAACTTTTCGTAATCTTGGCGGTTTACTTTTATTCATAGTGCAAACCACTTCAGTTTCGCCGCCGGAAGAAGGTTGTGGCTTAATGGTAAGTAAGCCATTGTGAATGTTTGGATTAAGAGCATTTGTTACTGCCAGTGAAAGGCGATGACGTACGTTTTGCTTTAATTTAGACATTATAAAAGAGAGTAGTACTATCGACGGAGCCCATTTTCGGTTCAAAAGAAAACTGGCAACTTCCTTTAGGTCAAACCAACATGGACCGGGGTCCATAATCTTAGTACCTTATGCTCATTACACCACGTCAGGTGTAACGCATCAAGAATGAAGTAACGCTAATTTTAGTTAGAAAACGAAGGATCGAGAAGGTGTCGGTTAGAAAAGTTTCGTCAGCAGAGACTTATAACAAAGATGCTTTGCTGCGAGATCTATGCCTGCTGATTCCACGAACAGTACAGATGTGTTGCCCGAGAAACGAAAGCTTTGAGGTCAGAAAAAGCATGTAGCCGCACAATCACTCTGTCGAAAGCCTAAAGAACAACCTGCAGCTACCCCTAGCCGTTTTCATATAATGTGTTGTAATCAGATGATATCCGAGCGGCCTTGTAGTCTTGTAAATGCCCGCAAGCTCCGCAACATGGAGGAAGCAACAGGCAGCATTGCAACACCATAAGCTCATATATTATGGCAAATATAGGGAAGACCCAGGGAATCATACGGTACTATCATATCTTGCGCTTCGATCGCAGGCAGGTGAGGCTGCCGCATTTAAAAATATAGACTTTTATTGGCCCTGAAGGGGACGGCCTTACTAGCGGTAACTTACTAGTTACAAAGACTTACAGAGGTTTAGTTATGTAAGCTTCTACCCTTTAAGCTACCCTTTCGAATCTGACGCCCTCCGCGAGACTGATGGTGTCTTCCGGTAGTTATCGTTAAAGCTTGAAGATACCAGGGGATTACAATCCCTTGGCGAGGATCGAGGCCATCAAACTACGCCTTGCCGCCTTTTGAAGGCCCTTGATCTATCGTCTACTACAAGCCCTTTTCGTTTTATGATATCGCGAAATATAATTTTCATCTTTACGCAGATTGTTTGTCGCTTCTTGACGGGTAAATATTAGCATAAGCGCTTGCACCATTTCGTATTATATTTACATTGTACCATTAATTATGTTTATTATCTGTATGTGAAGACTAGGCTCTCCAAATATGTTTTCTTGATTTGTTACGGAGCCATATTTTGTTCATTTAAATATGTTTTTTTTTCAATATTCAGCGTATTACGAGGCATATAGTATTTTGATTCGGTATGGTCGTATGTTCTTGGATCGCTGCCGTTTCTTGTTATAAGGTTCAACTCGATTTTCCGTATTTAAGTATTTCTGAATCGTATTTTGTAGTCGATAGACGTATGATAGATGACACAGATAATATGTTTGGAAAAAATACAAATGGCAGCATAGTGATGGACATCAAGCAGTCCCTTGAATTTTGAGACTTCTTAAAATATATATTATATTACCATTATATTAGTTACTATATAAATATTGTTGGTCTTATCTTAGAATTTTCGTTTTGTTTATGAAATCCACCCTGGTTACCTAAGCCGAGGATTTATTAAAAATTTGAAATCTAAAATATCCTTTGCTTGGCTAAAGTGGCATATTCAAGGAATCAGCAAGATCAACAGACATCTGTATTAAACTTAAACCTTTCTCTCGAGATCGAGTTTAGTTATTTTTTTTATCCAGCACCTTACACTGTCGTACAGAAACTTAGGGAAAACGGTAAAATTATAGTGTATTATTTACCTATTCGTTTCTACCGAGACTCATTACCATTGTTATTTTTTAAAAGCTTTCGTGTGGCATTTTTACAATAAGATATTATCTGAAGGTTATTGTCTTTGGGAAACCCGTGACATAATAGAAATATTTTTGTTTCAGCTCGAACCGCCGAAGGGTATTAACACGATTTGTATTCATGGCTTGTAGTAAGTTGGTTTCGCGACAAGATTTCGCGAGAGTATAGTGGCTTAGCTAATATAAACCCCAAAAATATAAAGATTTTGTTGTTTGATTGCCTACAAAAATACGGAGAGAATCCCAGTAACCGTACCATTAAAACTGGCAAAATCAAAATCCCATATATTGGAACGAGGTTTTGTTTAGATCTTGTCGTGATCATAGATAGAACTTAAACTAAGCGTCACTTTTATGAAAAATGTTTACTTTCTATAAGTAAAAACCTATAAAAAAGACGTTCCTTGTGGCCGTTTTGTTGTCTGTACGAACATTTTGTGTAATCTCAATACCAGAACTAACATACTGATGTCTTTCTATTGGGTTTGAGTACAAAAAATAAGATGCATTGAATAAAAAAAAATCGATTTATTCTAATTGTCACTCGTCGTTCCTGTAGAGACTGTATATCAATACATCAGATAATGGCATATGCTGAAAATGAAATTTAGCTTTTAGAGAAGTCTACTATATATACTTCTAATATACACTATACAACTGCAACAGTAATAAACGTCAGCGCATCACTGAATTTTCGTGCGAATTTCGGCGCGTCGCGAAGTTTTTTTGAAAAGACCGTTTTCGCTGAGAATGTGTAGTAGTATTCTATATCGTGATAGATAAGAACTAAAATCTAGACCAGACTGGATATCTTAGGACAATTTAAGAGTCTCACCTGTATATATATATATATATATATATATATATGCAGAATTTAGATTAGGATAGGCCTAGGCGGGTTATTTTCAAATATCAGGGAAGATCTCCCTGAATCAAACCAGGAGATTTTTCAGTAGGGTTAAGATTTAAAAACCGCAAAAATTCATCAGAGAAGTTCGAAAAGCCACCTTTGATACACATGGATTTTTTTACCCAGTAATTAATGGCCGTTTTGGAATATATATATATATATATATATATATATATATATATATATATATATATATATATATTAGCTTGTTTTTAAGCTAAAAGGCTTTCAAGCAAGTGCGTTCGCGGTTAACCAATGTGCACAGCCGTTATCTATAGCCATAAAAATTACCAAAATTATTTGATGCTTTCGGGTTGTTTAGCACATAGTACCGAATATATACGGCATTTTTGCTTTAGACAATTGCTACACGGTTTCTGACACTCTTGTTTATACTTGTGTCGCTGCTTAAGCCGGGCCCATAAATTTTTGGCGACAATCAACGTATTCAAAGATGATCGTCATGATCACTTAAATACACGGGCTTTCTATCACAAACCCATTTATGGATTCGTTTCACTCGATCTTTTGGGTGACTGCCCTACATAAACATAGCATTCCCTTTACCTTTTTGCTAAGATTATCGTGATAAATGCAGAAATTATTAAGCCCATGCTTTTCAAGAATCTTGACTCATTGACTGGTATGACGACACCACAATATGATTGATAAAATAGTAGCATAGGCGATGAATGAACCTACTTCTACCTCGTCTCAGTTCTTCGGGATAGCCTATGTCGGGTCCCCTCCACCCTGTCACATGCCAAAAGCGATGTGATACGGCGGTGCCGAGTCCTGTCGTGGAAGAAAAAGCTGTGGCTGAGTTAAAAAATAATAAGAACTGGGGATCGGCCGAATTTTATGCAAGCTCAGGAAAATTCATACTAGATAAACAGTTTGTTCATAGAAAAGCAAGTCTCTAATAATGCCAAAGAGATACTGGCTGAATTTTAGGTTAAAGGTTCCAGCCTGTCGTTGACATTGCAGCAGGTAGCAAATCATAAATATTTCGGTTTGCTAAAGACGAAAGGACCTGTGTGGGAATTCTAAGATGACCGCCTACGAATGAAAATGAGCCAGCAAAATGCCACAGGTAGTGAGGTAAAGTTATTTGGCTTTTAATGTTCTTGTCTGCGCTCAATCACTACAAGGGTGTTGAATTGGTTTAAATAATGAAGACTAAAAAAGGCACTCGATTTAAAAACGTGTATCATCTATGATAATTCGTGCTTTGAATCCGATTTTTGTATTTTTAAATTAAGAACCTGTCCGATCACTTGGCCATTCGCTTTAAGGCTCTGACCTGGTGCTTTGTGGCTTTCTGCTTGACCAAAGTTGATCATCGAGGCAAAGCCTTATAAGTCTCGACGTTATTATACAGGCGCATAAGACAACTGATTGTCTTCAGCATTGGCTAGACATACCAGATTTTGCGCGGACCCTCACAGAGAATAATTTGATGAATGAAATTTAGAAAAGTGTCCTATTATTATGTCCTGTTATTTTCCTATTTAGGTGGTCTATCGAATTAAGTAATATACATATTTA